GAAGTCGCCTTCAGAGAGAATATCATTTTAACGACTGGGGCGCTGGCGGCGCTGGACAGCGATCAGGATGACGAGCAGGATGACGAGGATTAATCGAGATTGTTTGCTGTGTATGTGAGTTTAGATTCGATTCTCTTTTTGGTTAGGCTCCAGTCGGTTACTGTGGAGCCTGAACTGACAGTACTGCACTCATGATGCTGGTATTCGTGATATCACCGATATGAGTTTACTTTTCGGGACACTTTCGCTCCGCGTTGTACCAGTGCTATCGAACGATTGTTCATCATATCTTTCAGTTGTTGGTATCGTTGGGGTTGCGCCCTGGTTTGTCTCGAAGCATGTCAGGTAGTGACCATGAACATGGATCGCATCACAATCATCGGGACGATGGAGAAGAGAAGAGGCACTTGATTGTTCTTAAGGTTGGCACCTCGACACTGATGAAGCCCTGCCACACTGTGAATATGGCCAACATGGGAGGCTTAGTGGACCTTGTGGCTAGCATTATGCGGTTGCCAGGATATCAAGTTATCATAGTCACATCCGCTGCTGTCGGCTTCGGCTGCCTCAAGCTGAACTTAGCGACCCGTCCCAGGTCTGATCAACTCTCGTTGAAGCAGGCAGTGGCAGCTGCCGGTCAGTCCCTGTTGATAAGGCTCTATGAGGACCTCTTCAATGCTTACAACCTCAAGGTCGCACAGATCCTGCTATCCCGGTCCGACTTCTCGGCGAAGGACCGTTTTAGGAACTTCCGAAATGCAGCGAATGAGCTCCTCAACATGGGCGTTATTCCTATCATAAACGAGAACGATTGTATATGCGTGGATGAGCTCCGATTTGGCGACAACGACACACTATCTGCATTAGTTGCAGTGAGTTGTAATGCGGATAAGCTGTTCCTCCTCACTGACGTCGATTGCCTGTACGATAAGAATCCACACGAGTTCCCCGATGCCAAACCCATAAGGGAGCTGACTAGTGTTGATCTCGCTAAGTTGGATGTTGAAGTTGCGGGAGACAGTCAATGGGGTAATATACTACGAGCACGCCGAGCCTTCTCTGCTACGATCCTTATGCGTAATACAACATCTGTTGAATAGGCACCGGTGGTATGGCTACCAAGTTAGTGGCGGCTAGGACTGCTGTTGCTGCTGGAATCGAGTGTATTCTCACGCATGGTGCCAAGCCCAATAAGGTAGTATGGACATTTTCCCCGGCATTCGAAGCTGTAGTTAGTCGAATCAATTGGGAGATTTGAAGGTACTGGAATATCTCCGAGACGGATCCGAGAAGGAGCTGATGACAGTCTTCAGAGTGGCTTCCGATAATATTCAGTTCGCAGTATCGAAGATGACCTGGAGGCGAC